CTTGTCTTTTACTGACAAAAGATTTTTTTAAAGTACACAATAGTGGGTAGTTGGCGGGTGCTCTGGTGTGGTTTGCTCGTCTCCTTCTTTCCTATCAAACTTCTATCATCCTGATCCCTCCTCCTTTTTTTGTGTGTCTGTTACTCTTTTTGTAACACCTGTCTGCGGCACTTATATGACTTTATTGTGATGCAAGTGCCGTAAAACTCTTATTAAAACTAAAAACGGGTGGCTGGTGGGTACTCCGATGTGGTTTGATCCTTCTTCGCTATCAAACAACTCGTTCTTATCCTTCATTCTTTTTTTTTGTGTGTGGTGTGTTTTGGTATTCTCGTGTAGTAGGCCTACTTTTAATCTTCTTCAATGATATGACCTAATTGCGTTGCAATTGCCATAAAATGCTTGCTTGCACAAAAACAGGGGTATTTTGGAAACACAAAAGGGGCACACAGGTGACTTATTCCACTTTTTTTTCTCGTATTTTCTCAGAACGAAAGCTGGAAACAACCCGAACAACAGCAGCGCCAACAGCAACGCCACTAGCAACGCCTCCTTGAACGGCAACAGCCACAGCAGCAGCATCAGCAGCAACAACACCACCACCACAACAGCAACAGCAACGTCTGCAGCCAGCAACATCAAGGAGCCCGCCATCAGACAGCCGCGTACCCCTGTCTCCGGACCAGTAGCCGGCGCCAGCAATACCACCTCAACTACCGCCACCACCAACACCACCACCACCACCAACAACAACTTAAACAACTTCCTCCTCAGCAACAACAGCAACAACAGTGGCGGTGTCGGTGTCGGTATCGGCGGCCCGGGCGCGGCGGGTGGTGGAGTAGGCAGCGCACCCGCCCTATGCACCAACAACAACAGCCAGCTGCTGGAAGAACTGGCCGCTCTCATCTCTTCTAGCTTGGGCGCGGACATGAACACACCGCCGACTGCTCTTGCAGCCAACAGCAGCAACAGCAACAGCGGCAACAGCAACAGCAAGGCTGACAAGTGCGCCGGAGTGCAGGTGAAGACAGGTGAGTGGTGGCAACTTGATATGGTTTTTTTTGTGTTGATGTTTGGTGTTGATATGTCGTATGTTTTAGCAGCACACATGCTCACGACTCACACACATACTCACACACGCGCACACTCGCGCGCGCGCACGCACACGCACACGCACACACGCATGCGCACGCGCACACATACACACGGACGCACGCACGCACTCAGACACACACACACACA